TACCTATCGTTTACTTTTAGATATTTAGGAAACAGATATTTAGGATAATATTGTCAAGACTGAAAAAATCTGAAGAGATATTTGATTTATTTTACCAAAACATCCTAAATATGAGATCTGTTAGCACCCTTTACTTATTTCTTCCTTATACTGCATTTGATTTTAATCCAGAATAGCCATAAGGCAAGGGACTTATGAAATTTTAGGTTCTGATAAGATCTATCATTCTAGAACAGATTTTTTTTTGAACTTCAAAAGCATTTTAAATCAATCCGACAGTAGTCTGTACATATTTCTTGAAGGAGGGTGCTGGCAAAATATTAAGCAATTACCACAAAAAAATAGCACTAACTTAGTCAAGGCCTTGGGGATTGTGTGATGTTGATATTTTATATTTTTGCCACTGTCTGAAGGTATTCTTATTTAAAGTGCAGGGATTCTTAAGTTAACCACTTTGTTATGTTAAAGGGACATTATTAATTCAATAGACCTATTTAAATAGACATATTTAAAGCCAATGGCTACATAACATACAGGATTTAAAAACCTAGAACATTTGCTATAAATTGAAGATATCTTTCATTATGTTATGAGGTATTCAAAGTGCTTTGACATTATAAAATACATTATATAAGAGAGTTTATTAATGTACTTGCTAACATTTTTTTGAAAGTCTAGTTCTATACATGTGACTCAACTGTTAGTCAATCTTACAAATTCTCTCTTAGAGCTTAGTAAGCTGTTTGGAACCCTAAAATTTTAATACTGATTTTCAGGTTTAATGGTCTAATTTTTATAGTAAGAAGATATTTCTAGAGGTATTAATTTATTTTTCAATTAATTTATTTAGTTTTTTTTTTTTTATATTTAGTGCTGGTTAGACCCACTAGTATTATTTCCAAATTAAATACATACTTAGACAGGACATATGCAAAGATCAAGTGGGAATGGTTAATGATCTGAAAGTTTCATATTAGTTTACTTTTTAGATGTGCTAGATTCTGTATAACAGACATGTAATTTATTTCTACTGGCTGTTCTTTGAAGAACTTAATCTCCAAAGTTTGTAATTAAGCAAAATTCCCGCCTGGCCAGGCATGGCTCAGCGGTCGAGCATCAACCTAAGATCCAGGAGATTGAGATTCGATTCCCGGTCAGGGCACAAGCCTGGATTTCGGGCTCAATCCCCAGTGGGGCGCGCAGGAAGCAGCCGATCAATGACTCTCTCATCATTGATGTTTCTCTCTCTCTCTCCCTCTCCCTTCCTCACTCTGAAATTAACAAAGATATATTAAAAAAGAAAAGGAAACTAAGCACAATTCCTAAAGATTGTGGGAGAAAGATAAATGGAGGGAATGCTTCTCAATAGTTGCAAAGATTTTCTCAGTGATTTGACTTAAATTTTTATTTATTCTAGTTCATGTGTATTTGGGAGCTGAATCAACATTCACTCTTCTTTATTGCTTGGAGGCTGGTTCAGCCTTGTTCATGGAGCTATTGTTTTTCCCAGCAGTCAGAATAAATTTGCATTACTGTAATCAACAATCTCTTATCTCTGAAGTAAAATCTGTAATTTCAAAGATGTATTTTCTAGGAGAGAGCACATAATTAAATGGCCCAGCAGGGTAGGATTTATATCTTTGACCTAAGTAGGCATAGTAAAATATAAATATAGCATGATTACTAGAAATAACCCTATTCCAAACCATACCAGACAATAGTTAAATTTCAGCTTTAAAAAAAGAAATTAAGAGAAGGGCTAGCTATATTTTGAAACTTTAAATATTTGGGAAAAAAATAAGTGTTACTTTCAAGATACTCACAGTTATACCAATAAGTGACTGTGAAAGAACCCTAAGGACAAGTTAATTTATTATAAGAAGTCCATAACATAAGTGTCATTTTGTATTATTTCAATCTAGAACACAATCTGAGAGAAAGACATATAGACTGTAAAATGTCAATGTGTTACTTTTAAAAAATATTCTAGGAGGGTCACACTCTCAATTTAAACTGATATTTATACTTTAAAATTGTAAAGTAATGAAATCATAAGGAAATATTTATGCCTTACTTTCATAAGTTACACACAGGCAAAGGCAGAACTATTCCCTCGTGTTTTTGTTCCCTCTGGGACTTGGTGCAAATATAGAAGGGAACGTTCATTAAATTTTCATTTTTATGCTAGAAAAATATTACATGTATATGAAGATAAAAGAACTATAATCTACAAGTACTAGGCTTATTTTAATTTGTCTAGGAATGAACAGGGAAAAACTGTTAAAAAAAAAAAAAAAGATGCCTAAACCAATAAGAAACAAAAGACAGGAAACTAAGTGGGTAATAGAAAGGTAGAAATTATTCTGAAATGCATAGAATGTTACATAAGTTATTTAATGTGATGGTTCCTAAAATATAGCTATAAGAAAATATCTCCCCAAAGAGCATCTTTCAATATGAGTAACATGTTACAAAATGAGGGTTGAAATTACAAAAGAGAAACTGTTTACTAAGACGACCAAGTTATTGAAATTCTCCTAGTTTTAGGATTCTTTCTTAAATGCTAAAAGCATAATTTGGTTGTTTGTGTACTTCATTTTAAGGTGTTTTTTAAAAAGAGAAAGAAAACAACATTATATACATAGATACATACATATCTCTATCTCTATCTCTCTATCTCTCTATCATCTCTATTACCTCTATCTCTATGTCTATCATCTCTATATCTCTATCTCTCTCTATCATCTCTATCTCTATCTATCTCTATCATCTCTATATCTCTCTCTATCATCTCATATATCTATATCATCTATATCTATCTATATCATCTATATCTATATCATCTATATATCTGTCTATCATCTATATCATCCTATATCTATCTATCTCTATCTATCTCTGTCTCTATCTCTATAATCTCTATCTATCTCTGTCTCTATCTCTATAATCTCTATCTATCTCTATCTCTATCATCTCTATCTCTGTCTCTATCTATCTCTATCTCTATCATCTCTATCATCTATATCTATCTATATCATCTATATCTATATCATCTATATATCTGTCTATCATCTGTATCATCCTATATCTATCTATCTCTATCTATCTCTGTCTCTATCTCTATAATCTCTATCTATCTCTGTCTCTATCTCTATAATCTCTATCTATCTCTATCTCTATCATCTCTATCTCTGTCTCTATCTATCTCTATCTCTATCATCTCTATCATCTATATCTATCTATATCATCTATATCTATATCATCTATATATCTGTCTATCATCTGTATCATCCTATATCTATCTATCTCTATCTATCTCTGTCTCTATCTCTATAATCTCTATCTATCTCTGTCTCTATCTCTATAATCTCTATCTATCTCTATCTCTATCATCTCTATCTCTGTCTCTATCTATCTCTATCTCTATCATCTCTATCATCTATATCTATCTATATCATCTATATCTATATCATCTATATATCTGTCTATCATCTGTATCATCCTATATCTATCTATCTCTATCTATCTCTGTCTCTATCTCTATAATCTCTATCTATCTCTGTCTCTATCTCTATAATCTCTATCTATCTCTATCTCTATCATCTCTATCTCTGTCTCTATCTATCTCTATCTCTATCATCTCTATCATCTATATCTATCTATATCATCTATATCTATATCATCTATATATCTGTCTATCATCTGTATCATCCTATATCTATCTATCTCTATCTATCTCTGTCTCTATCTCTATAATCTCTATCTATCTCTCTATCTCTATCATCTCTATCATCTATATATATCTATATCATCTATATCTATTATCTACCTATATTATATATATTACAGGCAGAAAGAGTAAATTGATGTGGAAAAGTTCATGTGTACTTTGTGTTTATACTAGAGATCACAATAAATTGTTAACCAAACATAAGTCTTGTCTACCATTGTTTGTCAATAACAGAAGAAAAACATATTAGTATGAAAATGGAATCCATTTTCTATGTTTGTTTTTAAAACCTAATTGATTGTTGTTAAGTGAGTGTTTTAGGTAAGGGATTTTAAAATTGTTGAGTGTTTTTTAAGGGAAGTATCTAATTAGTTGGTAGTTCTACATAAATAAATGAACTGTAAATAAAATAAATAATAATTGGCATAATTAGCATGACTCTCTTATCCTTGGAAAGACCTCTCAGATGCATTAGGTACACATCAGTTGGAGAAAGGAAGATGGAATAGATGACTGATTCTTTTTAACTCTACAGATTTATCAAAAATTTCATTCCCTGAGTTACATAATGGTAGTCTGAATAAAATCTTAACAAAAATCCTAGTAAATTGTCAACATAATCATTTTTAAAGGGTTTCTTGTTTAATGTGAATGTTCAGAAATAGGTTTTATAATGTCACCAATAAGTTGTAGAAGGGTATTAATGCAACATTCATCTTTTAATCAGATATATATGATTGCTATGCAGAAACCAGATGGGGGGAGAGGGAGAGGGCGAGGAGAGATGTCAGGAAGGGAAGGAAGGAGGGATAGATAAATGGATATTAGGAAATTATAACACACTCTAAGAAAGATGCCATTCTTGGAATCAAAGAAGCTTCTGGAAGATTATAGAGCACATCCAAGGCACTCTATTCAATAAAGGACAAACATAGCTAGAACTGCAGAAATATAGTAAACTAACACTCCACTTAAAGTGAAATTTTAGAAGTTTCTTGTGGAGTAATTGAGAATACTCTGAACAAGGTTAAAAACAAAGTCTTTCTGTAGGGAAGTGACTATTCTATCACAGACTGAAATCGCACATGATCAGTAACTTATAGAAGACAAAAAAGAAGTAAAAAAAATTGGATGAAAACAAGACAAGACAAATAGAAGCAGCAAAGCATCGTATCATGTTATACAGTATTAAACTGCCCTAAGCAGGTTTTCTTCCTCTCTGATGTGCCACAACTTACAGAAATGCTAAGTAAATTACATGGAACAGTACCTTTCTTTTAGCCTTTAGCTGCTCGTGATACTTGTCACAGGTATCTCCTGGGATCTCTCCTCCCCAGAGAGTGATTCCAACAATGGTGTATGTGACGCCCATGACAAGCAATGGGAAACAGTACACCAGGATAATGACAATAATATGGTACCTGAAATTAAAAAAAAAGAAAAACACACATGCTGAAGAGCGCATTGGGTTGAAATAGTGGGAATTTGAATTCATTCCATTTTAAATCACAATTGAAAATGCTAAAGAATGTTTCCACATTTTCTCTAAGTCTTCATTTCACAAATCCATGAACATACTGTTATTGTCACCTACAGTTGTCCCAATGCTACCAGTTGATCTTTGTCAATCTTTATACATGAAAAACACAGCTGAGCTGCAGTGTTCATTTAAATTACAGCCACCCCTCCCCCTCCCTACCCCCTTGCCTAGAGGTTCAGGATAAATGTTTTCCCTTTGCTTGGTAATTGTTGAGCTAACCTAATTAAATGTATCATCAGAGGAAAAGAGATGCGACAGATTAAAACTAATCAAGTGACAGATGTTTTCTCCTTTGTAAAACTATTCTATATATCCCCATGGCATCACTCATATTTGAAATGTTGTTTTTCATCTGAATGAAAAAAAATGTTACCACATAGTGTGAGCCTCATTGAATTCACAAGCTATTTCACTGTGATTTTAAATATCAGATAAAGACATTTACTTGTATTTTTCCAAACGTAGGGAACATTTGATTGCATTATTCATTTGGTAAATAATATATAGATGTCTCAGTCACAACAAAGTGATGACGCTCTGAATTATCAAACTAAATTCTAGGATTTCATAGCTTTCAATGGAAATTATAAGGAGGCAATTAGGGAGGAATAGAAGGTAGCCAATAATATAACAACCCAACTGGAGTTTGTATAAACTTTTGTGTGGCTTCCAAGGTCTTAAGAGGCTTTAAAGTAATTAAAGAGTTTGGAATGTTAACATTCTCAAATACCTGTGGGATTTTTAAAAAATTTTGTAATGGGAATGGGAAGTGATTTGGTCAACAAAGAATGAAATTTTATTATTATTAATTTTATTTTATCATACAACTAAGATTTTTTAGTAATAACGGATAGAAAACAGTTTAATAATTTCTGCTTGCTTTTCTTCAGTAAAAGCTTCTAATGTTTCTTAAAAATTTGGACTCTTGGTAGAGCAGAGTTTGATCAAATGACTTCATTAAAAAATAACCATTATATTTGTATTATTTGTTATTCTTAAAGGGAAAAATTAGTCACTAAATAAGAATTATATTGAAATAAAATATAAATGATCAGAATAAAAAACTAAATGCAAATAAATTGTACAATTCTTTTCCATTTGCTTTTCTTTTAAAAGAAATTTTTAATTAAATTAATTGGGGTGGCATTGGTTAATAAAATTATATAGGTTTCAAGTGTACAATTCTATAATATATCATCTGTATATTGAACTGTGTGTTCACCACCCTAAGTCAACTCTTCTTCCATCACCACATATTTGACCCCCTTTAACTTTACTACCTTTCCCCACTCTCCTTTCCCTCTGGTAGTCACCATATAGCTGTCTGTGTCTATGAGTTTTTGTTTTGTTTCTTTGTGTTGTTTGTTCATTTGTTGCTTTCAGTTTTATGTCCCACATATGAGTTAAATCATATTGTTCTTAACTTTTTCCCCTATGACTTATTTCGCTTAGCATATTCTTAAGATCCATTCATGCTGTTGCAAATGGCCATATTTCATCTTTTCTTTTCTTTTTTAAAATGGGTCCAAAATATGAAAAACCAAATTCTATCATGTAGCATTCCTATTTTCTTTCCAACCTAGTGTTTAAACTTCTTTTGTATTAAAACAAAAGAACATAATGAAGAACCCACCAGGACTCCTTTCCCTTCAATCAGGCTTCTTAAAAGAGCAATCCACACATTCGCTCTTTAGTTCCTCCCTTCTCACTCATTTCTCAACCAATAACAACTTTCCCCTCCTTTGGATGCTGCTTTTATTTCCAATGAGCTTATCACCTACTCTAGGAAATTCTGCAGAGCTGCCCCACATAGAAGTCATCACATTTTTTTCCCCCAATTATAAATCTTTGTAATTTACACCAACTTATTGACCATATCATACCATATTATAGTATCTATATGTGTCTGTCTTCCCAAGTAATGTGTGAGACATTGAGGGAAATGTCTCTGTCTATTTGTTTCATTGATGCTCCCAATCTACAGTTCCTTAAATGTTCAATAAATTGAATTGAAAATCATAATAGAGAATTAACTTACGTGAAATGTTGTTTGGGACCTTCTGGCCATTGCACATAGCAAAGAGTACGACCTGGCATGACTTTGATTTTGGAGTAAAGACACTGAGGGAAGGCAAGTAGAAATGCTAGAATCCAAATACAGCCAATGACAATCTTGGTTGCTGTGGCAGACAGTCTGGGTTTCAAGGGATCAATAATGGCCATGTACCTGTATGAAAACAAACAAAATCATTTTGCCAGCCTCTTGTTAATGAAGTTTAAAAAGTAGTTTCAAAGGAGTTTCAGTGGCCAGGGTTCTTTCTCTCCCAGTAAACAAATTGATAAGGATTTTGCTTGTGTAGAGGCAGCTTAAAGTGATAATCATAACATAGTCTTTGGAATCAGAAAAATCAAGGTTCAAATCCTATTTGGTCACTTTTTTAAAAATCTTTTTGAACCTCAGCTTTATTATTTTAAAAATAGAAATAAGAACATCCACCTCTTAGGGATGAAGTCAAGATCAATAAAAATAATGTAAGTGAAAGGCCTTGATTATTTGGTGCTGTGCCTCGCACATTCTCAGAATTCATAAATGCCTGTTGAATGGAATTGGAAAGGTGAGTAATAAGTGCTTAAAAATATGAGTTCAGTACCTCAAGACCTCAGTTTTTTCTTCTGTATGTTTGTTTTTAGAAGAAAATTCTAGAGACAATATGGATAATAGCTACATGATTGATGAAGATGAAGAAGCCCTATGAAGGACATCATCAACATTTCCAGCTAAAAGCATGAAGAGACAAGTTCAGGATTCGCATAAAGATGAATAAATCATGTGTGATAAAGGCTATGCCTTCCTGTTTCTTCCAAAATTGAATTCATGCTGCATCATGAAAATCTTCATAGTGTCTATCTATATAACAATATATCATTTTTATAAAAATATATTTGAGGCTCTGAAAGACACACACAAGATTTTTTTTGAAATTGTTAACTGTCTGAGCAAGGTAACTCAAGTCAAGCTTTATGCACCTGGTAAAATAGTAACAATATGTCTGGGAGAATCAAATTCCAGTTTTAAATTGAGTATTTTTGCATTTCTAGCAATAAATCACATTATCTTAATTGTTTTATTTTTACTGTTGGTTATTTTGTGTTTCTCAAACATATATTGATTTATGCAAACTTTCAAAGGCAGCACTTTTATCAAAGAATGAGTATTACTTAAGCCAAAAACATTTTAACCTTAAGAATACCTCAAAATAAGAATAAAAATAAAGGTAATTAATTAGTTTGGTTTTTGCTCTGGGCTTTTTAAATTATTAGGCAAAATTAGATCTTAAGTAGATGTTTTGGAACTTGCTTAATTACTAGTCATAATATTAATTTTGGTTGTAATTTACTTGAAGGAAATATTCTTAATTTATTATATGTGACAGTTAATAAGTAAAAGTGACTGTTGGATATAAAAATAATTATAAACACTGTACCTTGGTTTAAGAAAATAAAGTAAATCGTAGAAAGAATGTAAAATGAAGACTGTTTAAAAGTCCCTCTCATGCTTATGTTGATGAAGATAATAGCAACATTAATGACTGCCATTCATTAACAGGCACTTTATTACATACACTATGCATATCTAATATCCAGAATAATCTAATGATCCAATCAATAGCATGTTGTTATCTTTATTTTGCAGAAAAGAAAACTGAGGCTTAAAGAAATTAAGTAAATTTCTCAAAATGACTAGGATGGTGAGAGCTGGAATTCTAAACCAGTTCTGCAGTCTTCAAAGTCCATATAGATACAAATTATGGCTTTGAATATAATCATTTATGTGAGGAATTGTGAAAGAGAAGAAAAATATTTAATGTAGATGGCTTCCAAAGAATCAAAAGTTGCCTTTTGCCTTATGAATCCAAAATAATGTATATACAACATTAAAGATAAAAGTCAAACATATAAAGATAATATTTGTAGTTAGACATTTCTGTTTCCACTGCTGCTGATTAAAACTCACTGTAGTAGTTCTCACTGTATTGAACTGCTGTATTTTGGGTGTTTCCAGAGGCCACAGTACTTATCAATCAAGTTTATTTTATGCAACTGAATATTTCTCAAACTTTATTATAAGCTTTTGCTTTTTTGCTCTCTCTGGAATTTATGAACTCAATTTGGATGTTTAGACAGTTGATTTTTTGGAGACTAAAAAGAGAAATTGAGTAAAATGAGCAGGGTTAGAATCTTGTACAGCTACTATAGCACGGATAATTAAAAATATACTGCAAATTTCTTATAGTTTTTTAGACAATTAGTCTAGTGATAGAGAAATTTTTCCCTGGTAGGTAGAATATTATATGGAAACAATTTATGTTCTCACTAACACTTCAGTAAAAGTAGAAATTTTGAAAGTTCAAACTGACAGTTTTGTCATTTCTGGTCTGATCTATTACTTATTCATTTAGCCAAACATTTTTTGAATGCTTGCTATGGCATTCCAGACACTGTATTGATACAACAGTGAGGAAAGATGGCCTTCACAGAGCTCATAGCCTAGTGAAGTAGATAGCTATTAATCAAATTATCTAACCAATAAATGTAAAATTACAGATACTGTAAGTGTTGCAAAGGCAAGGTATATATGGTCACTTGAATGCATTTACTGAGAAAACATATTTAGATTGTGAAAGTCTTCCCTAAGAAAAGTCATCTGGGTTGAAAGTCGGAAGGGTCACTAAGCAAGGTGGCAGAAGGGTGATAGTTGCAAAGATTTCTTGGAAGAACAAACAACATGTGAAAAACGCCTTTGTTAATGGTAGGTTTTTATGGGTTAAATTATATCCCCTTAAAAAAGATATATTGAAATCCTAATTCCCAATATCAGAGAATGTGACTTTATTTGGACATAGAGTCTTTATACAGGTAATGAAGTTAAAATGAAGTTATCAGGGTGAGCCCTAATTCAATGACTGAAACAAAGGAGGAATGTGGAAACAGAAATATATGGAGAAGGCCATGCGAAGATGGAGGACTGGGTGATATATTACAGATGAAGGAATGCCAAGGACTGCCAGCAGTTCCCCAGAGACTAGGAAGAGGAAAGGAAGGCTTTCCCGACAGCCTTCAGAGGGAGCATGACCCTTACCAACACTTTAATTTCAGACTTCTAGCTTCCAGAACTGTGAGACAATAGATTTCTGTTGTTCTAAGTCACTCGGTTTATGATATTTTGCTATAGCAGCCCCAGGAAATCAATATGATGAGTCAGGGTGAGAGAAGCATTATACACTTGAGTAATTAAAGGCTACTGTAATTGGAACACAGAAAGTGAAGGGGGAAAGTGGTTTGAGACAAAGTTGTAATGCAGGTTATAGATTATTGTCTTATGGAAAGTAATTGAAGTGATTCAATCAGGGAAGGAGAATAATTCGATTTTAGTCTGGGGAATGGACTGAAGGACAGAAATAATGGGAGCAGGGAAATGAGTTACTTGACTGTTGTTTTGCTTTGGGTGAGAGATGGTTGATAATTGAAATAGAGTGTTGCTACTGGAGATTGAATTATGGTAATAATCTGAGGAAAGTAAAAAAAAAAAAAAAGTTGAAATGTTGCAGAAAGGGAGACCCAGTTGGCCAAAGAAGTAGGTAGAATTGCCAGACACTACTGAAGACCAATTTGAAATTGGTGATTAGGAATCCATTGTGGCATTAATATTTCCTACTCTATGGCTCTCTCTTAATAATAAGTTGCTCAACAGTGGGCATGAAGAAAATAGCTGCTTAAACTCATCCAGATAAACATCCTCTGGACCTTGAGAAGAAATGATCGAATCTCACATATGAACTCACTCAAATGTCAGTACTTTATTCTTCCTTTAAAGAAACATACCTTTGATGTGGTCACATTAGCTTTTCCTAGGTGTTTTTCTAAGCTTCTCAACTACTATTTTTTCCCTCACCAAACAGATTCTCAAATATGTTAGAGTCTGCTGCATATAATTATTTCATGAATAACAGCTAAGGCTGGATTCTTACTGTACCAACTAGAGCATCACCTAAAAAAGTTTAAAAGTAAATTTTATTATCTTTTACAGAGAACTGAAATTCTCAGAAGCATCCATTGGAAGATCATATTTTTAATGACATTTTAAAAAATCAGTTTTCCTTTCCACTTTAATGCTAGACCACTTTGCTTTACCACTTAGTATTTTCTGATATAGTTGAGGGAGTCTTTTCTTTTTACTTTGATGTCTTTTGCACAATACTATTGTTCACATAACTTTACTTACCCTCAGTAAGTGAGCCCTTTCTATTTTATAATTGTTCTTGGTATCTGGTATAATTCTCTTCTGATAACATTTTTATTAAGCTCTCTTTCTGGATCTTTACTTGTTTCTACACATTTCAAAATGAAGAGTGCAGTCTTCAGATGTTTCCTTAATTATAATAACCATGCAAAGAATATTTGTCTGAAATGATATGGATTTTACTCTTTTTCAGTTTGATTCTGGCCACAGCAGACAATGTTTTAGTCTGTAAATGACAAATATAAAATGCTGTCTGGCTATTATCTGTGCAAAATAAAGATTAATAGCAACAGCTGCTAATGACCCATAAAACTTCAACTTCTGGCCTATAGTACTAGGGCATTTTTTTTTTTTTTAATTTGACAAATCACTAGAAATACAACCTTTCTTGAAACTGCAATTTTTAGACAAATTTTATTGTGTACTTTTTCATAACTGTTTTAAATGAATGTAAGAATGAATCAATTAACTATTATTGTCTTAGTGAATTTTGAAGTGATTAGCATTTATGAAAATAAACCTATATACAAACATTCACATGAATGCATACATATAATAGGAATTTCAAAATATTATCCAGCCCAAAAAAATCATTTACTCAAATTTTTTGATATATTATATAAATAAAATTTATACGCTGGCATTTGAGGAAAGCTACATTTCAAGAATAAAGCATCAGAATAGTGAAAGTATGTGACTTTCATTGTTCATGCTTTCAGTTTAAATTTAACAGTTAGGTTTATCCATTTATTTATTTATTTATTAAATATCAAGTTTTTATTTTCATTTATTTGTTAAATGCCAACTATTTTTCAGGGTTGTGTGACATACTTTGGCTATATTGATAAACAAAATAGATGGTCTTCCTAATCTTGTGGAGTCAAAGTCTAATGTAGAATAAACATGTTATTAAAATAGTGAGAAAA